TCTGGCTGTGTGGGGTGAGGGATGGCTCTATTCTGTGTGTGTTGTTTGGGTGTGGGTGAGGGAGTCTTATTCTGGCTGTGGGGTGAGGGAGGTCTTATTCTGGGTGTGTGGGGTGAGGGGAGGGTCTTATTCCTGGGGTGTGTGGTATGAGGGAGGGTCTTATTCTGCTGTGTGGGGTGAGGGGAGGGTCTTATTCTGATGTGTGGTGTGAGGGAGGGTCTTATTCTGGGTGTGTGGTGAGGGTTTTATTCTGTGTGTTGGGGTGTGTGTGGTGAGGGGAGGTCTTATTTGGGTGTGTGGGTGTGTGTTTGTTGGTATCTTTCTTCCACTACTGTAATCAGCCATCTTCCTCCTCCACCTGTTACTGTAATCAGCCATCTTCCTCCTCCACCCGTTACTGTAATCAGCCATCTTCCTTCTCCACCGTTACTGTAATCAGCCATCTTCCTCCTCCACCCACTACTGTAATCAGCCATCTTCTCTCCACCACCCACTACTGTAATCAGCCATCTTCCTCCTCCACCCACTACTGTAATCAGCCATCTTCCTCCTCCACCACTACTGTAATCAGCATCTTCCTCCTCCACCCACTACTGTAATCAGCCATCTTCCTCCTCCACCCGTTACTGTAATCAGCCATCTTTCTCCCTCCACCCGTTACTGTAATCAGCCATCTTCCTCCTCCACCGTTACTTTAATCAGCCATCTTCCTCCTCCACCGTTACTGTAATCAGCCATCTTTCTTCTCCACCACTACTGTAATCAGCCATCTTCCTCCTCCACCCGTTACTGTAATCAGCCATCTTCCTCTCCACCGTTACTGTAATCAGCCATCTTACCCGTTACCGTAATCAGCCATCTTTCTTCTCCACCCAATTACTGTAATCAGCCATCTTCCCTCCTCCACCCGTTACTGTAATCAGCCATTTTCCTCCAATTCGCGTCAGTAATCAGCCATCTTCCTCCTCCACCCGTTACTGTAATCAGCCATCTTTTCTTCTCCAACGTTACTGTAATCAGCTTTCATCTTTTCTTTCTCTCCACCCGTTAAATCAGCCATCTTCTCTCCACCCGTTGGGTTGTAATCTGTACCATCTTCCTCCTCCACCCGTTACTGTAATCAGCCATCTTCTCCTCCACCCGTTATTGTAATCAGCCATCTTCCTCTCCACCCAAGTACTGTAATCAGCCATCTTCCTCTCCACCTCGTTACTGTAATCAGCATCTTTCTTCTCCACCCGTTACTGTAATCAGCCATCTTTCTTTCTCTTCCACCCGTTACTGTAATCAGCCATCTTCCTCCTCCACCGTTACCGTAATCAGCCATCTTCCTCCTCCACCCGTTACCGTAATCAAATATCTTTCTTTCTCCACCCGTTACTGTAATCAGCCATTTTCCACCCGTTACCGTAATCAGCCATCTTTTCTTCTCCACCACTACTGTAATCAGCCATCTTCCTCTCCACCCGTTACTGTAATCAGCCATCTTCCTCCACCCGTTACTGTAATCAGCCATCTTCTCCCTCCACCCGTTACTGTAATCAGCCATCTTTCTTCTCCACCCACTACTGTAATCAGCCATCTTCCTCCTCCACCGTTACTGTAATATAAGCCCTTCTCCACCCGTTACTGTAATCAGCCATCTTCCTTCTCCACCCACTACCTGTAATCAGCCATCTTCCTCCTCCACCCACTACTGTAATCAGCCATCTTCCTCCTCCACCCGTTACTGTAATCAGCCATCTTCCTCCTCCACCCACTACTGTAATCAGCCATCTTCCTCCTCCACCCACTACTGTAATCAGCCATCTTCCTCCTCCACCCGTTACTGTAATCAGCCATCTTCCTCCTCCAGCCATTACTGCTGTGGTTCCTGTATCGTGTACCCACCTTGTCCAACACTATCCAAGTTGAGCAATTAGAGGCTGAGTGATGGAGGACGACCTGTGTACCTCCGCGGGCTGCCTCTGTCGAAGGGGTTGAAGGGTGAGGGTTGAAGGGTGAGGGGTTCTAAGTATGAGGGGTTCGAGGATGGGGTTGAAAGAACGAGGGTTCATAGTCAGGTTTCGGGTCGAGGGTTCAGAAGCCAGGGGGTTCAAAAGTTAAGGACTCAAAGTAGATAGTTCAAGGGGTGTTCTTTTTTTAAGCATCAAAGATTCGAAAGTTAATAGTCCAATACTCGAAGGTTCAAAGGTTCAAAACTCAGGAAACAAAGGTACACAAAACCCCTCCTGAAACACCTTAAAAGACACGAGGGTTCAAAACATCACATCAGATAGCAGATTTTTATTCAATTTCCTCAAAAAATCATCGATATTTTTTACAATTTGTTGATCGAATCTCCGTCCTGAACTGCCCTTCCAGCCTCCACCTCATCTCGTTTTCTGTATTTTTTCCGTTTTCTATGGAGGAGAGACTGAAGCAAAGAGAGAGGAAAAGGTTCAGCTCGGAGGAAAAAAATTATAATGGAAAAGAAATTCTTGATAAAGTTGGAGTATAAAGGAGAGGAGGAATGAAAAATAAGACGTGGAAATATTAGGTAGGGAAGGAAAGTTTATAAAGGAGAGAAGAGGCGATGTTTGATAAATAATGAGAGGGAAGAATTCTTAGAAAACTTACAAATACATTATACACTTTGGGGAAGAAAGTGATGTACAGGTGTATAAACATTTATGTCAGGGAATAAAGTCATAATAAATTACGTTCTCCAGGAAGGGCTAAACACTGAACTTGTCTGGGAAATGTTCTATACTGTTAGCTCCTCCTCCTCCTCCTCCTTCTCCTCCTTCTTCGTCTTCTTTTCTTCTTTTCATCCACCTCTGCCACCTCCTCCTCTTTTTTTTCCACCTCCCTCTTCTTCCTCTTTCTTCTTCATTTTCCTTCTTTACCTTTACTATCATAGGAACCCAATTCCCATGAATTTTTGCCTCCTCCTCCTCCTCTTCCTTCCCCTCTCCTTCCCCCTCCTCCCCTTCCTCCTCCTCCTTCCCCTCCTCCTTCCTCCTCTCTTCTATCTCCTCTCCTCCTCCTCCCTCTCTTCTTCCTTCTTTCCTCTCCTCCTTTTCCCTCCTTTTCCCTCTTCCTCTCCTCTTTCCCCTCCCTCCTCCTCCTCCTCTTCCCTCATTCAGGTGGGTTTATAAAACACACGCCGTTCTTTAATTTCAAGAAGTAATTAAGGGGGATGGAGGGAGGTCCATCGAGCCGCTCCTGAATGGCGTCACTCAGATAGTTGATGGTAAGAGTGTGGCGGCTTTCTGATGGTACTGTGTAATCCATTGTCACTCTCTCTCTCTCTCTCTCTCTCTCGCCTTCCTTCATTCCTTTCTTTCTTTCTTTCATTTGTTCCTTCTTTCTTTCTTCTCCTTCTCAACCTAATATATTTCACCTCCTACTCATCATTTTCTTCTCTCATTTATCTCTCAAAATCTCTCACTTTCCTTAACTCTTCCAAGCCTCTCTTACTCTCTCTCACCCCTTCCACCCCATCACCCTTACTCACCCCTCCTAGCCCTTCACTCACACCTCACCCCTCCCAGCCCCCTCACTCACCCCTCCCAGCCCCCCTCCTCACCCCTCCCAGCCCCCTCATTCACCCCTCCCTGCCCCTCATTCACCCCCCCTGCCCCCCTCATTCACCCCTCCCTGCCCCTTCATTCACCCCTCCCTGCCCCTCATTCACCTCCTGCCCCTCATTCACCCCTCCAGCCCCCATTCACCCTCAGCCCCCCATTCACCCCTCCCAGCCCCCATTCACCCTCCCTGCCCCATTCACCCCTCCCTGCCCCTCATTCACCCCTCCCTGCCCCCTCATTCACCCCTCCCTGCCCCTCATTCACCCCTCCCTGCCCCCTCATTCACCCCTCCCTGCCCCCTCATTCACCCCTCCCTGCCCCTCATTCACCCCTCCCCTGCCCCCTCATTCACACCCCTCCAGCCCCTCATTCACCCCTCCCTGCCCCCTCATTCACCACCTCCTGCCCCCTCTCCACCCCTCCCCTGCCCCCCTCACTCCACCCCTCCCTGCCCCTCACTCACCCCCTCCCTGCCCCTCCCTCACCCCCTCCCAGCCCCTCCTCACCCCTCCCAGCCCCCTCACTCACCCCTCCCTGCCCCCTCATTCACCCCTCCCCTGCCCCTCCACTCACCCCTTCCAGCCCCTCCCTCACCCCTTCCAGCCCCTCCTCACCCCTCCCCTGCCCCCTCTCCACCTCCAGCCCCCCCTCTCTCACCCCTCCACCTGACACAGCTGGTCGAGCACTTCTTTAATCAATCCTCCTCGGAATCTTCGTCCACTGAGGAATTTGATATATCATCCGTGGAACTAATCATCCCTATGTCAGGAAGAGTCAAAGTCGTCGTGTCTCCCTGTAGGATCGTCGACCTTAATCTCTCTCTCTCTCTCTTTCTCTCTCTTTTTCTACGAGACAATATTGTGTCAGTCGTATCGTAGTCGGTCAGTATCAGAGGTGAGAGGTGAGATATATGAACACCCCACCCCTCTTTTCCTCCCTCCACTCCGTTCTCCTTCCCTCCCACTCGTCCCCCTACTCCTATCCCCACTCCTCCCCCTCCCTGACTCCCTCGACCCCCACCTTCCTCCCTCCCCATCCCAATCACGCCTTCATCCCCGTCTCTGTTTCTCGCCTCTTATCTCATCAGAGTTCATAAGATAGAGAGCGATACGTCTCCGCCTAGGATAATCTCTCTAGGGTGAAGGGAAGTGGTCTGTCTCTCAGTCGCCCGTGGCAGTGAGACAAAATATGGCTGAGAGAAAAAATTAATGAGACAGACAGACAGACACACAGACAGACGAAGACAGACAGACAGACAGACAGACAGACAGACAGACAGACAGACAGACAGACAGTTCCCTCAATAAGATTTTTTTTTTGTTCCCTCTCCCCGTTCTTTGGCAGTTCATCATCGCCACCCACCCTGTGAGTCTTAGTAAGGTCTCTCCCTCCTTCAGGTCGTCTTAGGGGAGGGAGGTGCCCACGGGATCAACAGGTGGGCTCTGAGGAAGGTATTGAGGATACCTGACCTGAGTGGAGGATTATTACAACAGGTAGGAGACGAACGACGATTGAGGTGATACTGTCTGGAGGCTTCATGGAGTCTAGAGGCTTTATAGGGTCTGGAGGCTTCATGGAGTCTGGAGGCTTCATGAGTCTAGAGGCGAGTCTGGAGGCTTCATGAGTCTGGGCTTCATGGAGTCTAGAGCTATAGGGTCTGGAGGCTTCATGGAGTCTAGAGGCTTTATGGAGTCTGGAGGCTTTAAGATCTGGAGGCTTCATGGGTCTGGAGGCTTCATGGAGTCTAGAGGCTTTATAGGGTCTGGAGGCTTCATGATCTGGAGGCTTCATGGAGTCTAGGGCTTTATAGGGTCTGGGCTTCATGAGTCTGGAGGCTTCATGGAGTCTAGAGGCTTTATAGGGTCTGGGCTTCATGGAGTCTGGAGGCTTCATGGAGTCTGGAGGCTTCATGGAGTCTGGAGGCTTCATGGAGTCTAGAGGCTTTAAGGAGTCTGGAGGCTTTATAGGGTCTGGAGACTTTATGGAATTTGGAGACTTTATGGAGTTTGGAGGCTTTATGGGGTCTGGAGACTGGGGTCTGGAGGCTTATTGAGGTCTGGAGACTTTATGGGTCTGGAGACTTTATGGAGTCTGAAGGCTTTATGAAGTCTGGAGGCTTCATGGAGTCTGGAGGCTTCATGAGTCTGGAGGCTTTAGGAGTCTGGAGACTTTATGGAGTCTGGAGGCTTTATGGAGTCTGGAGGCTTTATAGGTCTCTGGAGACTTTATGGATTTGGAGACTTTATGGAGTTTAGGCTTTATGGGGTCTGGAGACTTTATGGGTCTGGAGGCTTTATTGGGGTCTGGAGCTTTATGAGTCTGGGCTTCATGGGTCTGCAGGCTTTATGGAGTCTGGAGGCTTCATGGGGTCTGCAGGCTTTATGGATCTGGAGGCTTTATGGAGTCTGGAGGCTTTATGGAGTCTAGAGGCTTTATGGAGTCTAGAGGCTTTATGGAGTCTGGAGGCTTCATGGAGTCTGCAGGCTTTATGGAGTCTGGAGGCTTTATGAATCTTGGGTCGAGATAGTTTCATATAAACACTTATTATCAGTTCTTCTACCAGGTCAGGTGAACAGTTGTACCAGGTCAGGTGAACAGTTGTACCAGGTCAGGTGACCAATTGTACCAGGTCAGGTGAACAGTTGTACCAGGTCAGGTGAACAGTTGTACCAGGTCAGGTGAACAATTGTACCAGGTCAGGTGAACAATTGTACCAGGTCAGGTGAACAATTGTACCAGGTCAGGTGAACAACTCGATTTTCAGAACTAGTGAGTCTCTATCTTTTTACACCTCGGGCATCTAGAAGCATCTGGCTCTATGAAGGGGTTAAGAAAACAGTATCGTAGGTAAGAGAGTTTTTGTGTGTGTTAAATTAGACTCTTAAGACTCTTTATTGTAGATTTAAAGAGTTTAGTGAGTCTTTTTACACAGACTCTTCAGGTAGACTCTGGGCGTAAGAGTAGTAATACAACTTTCCTCTTGACCCCAAATGAATTCCAGAATATTATTTGTTAACTCCAGTGTCTTACGGGACATTCCAGTTACCATTCAAAAACCTGTTCAAAACATTCCAGGCACGATTCCTAAGTATTACGAGACATTCCAGTTACCATTCCAAAACCTGTTCAAACATTCCAGGCACGATTCCTAAGTATTACGAGACATTCCAGTTACCATTCCAAAACCTGTTCAAAACATTCCAGGCACGATTCCTAAGTATTACGAGACATTCCAGTTACCATTCAAAAACCTGTTTAAAACATTCCAGGCTCGATTCCAAAGCATTACAGGAACATTCAGGGAAAACACCTCCTCACAGACTAGACCTGAACAGATCTCCACCGTAACGTAAAATAGTACATCACGAAGCCAGAAACACAAACAGAATAGGACCCAAAAAATATCCCGTAGGACCCAAAAACACAACAACAAAAACACCTACACTCCTTTACATTTCCCTCATGTATACCTGTACCTCCAACGCCCCCCTATCCCTACCCCACCCATCACCTTACCATCACCTGTAATTAGTATAACAGGTATTGGCTTCTTATCTGACGAGCCTGGAAGCTACACACACACACACACACACACACACACCAGACACAGACATAAACACGTAACGAGAGACTGCTTCTTTTGAGGGGGAGGTGGAGGGTAACTCTCTATAGGTTGTCTTGAATGTGTGCTATTCTCCCTACCCCCCCCACCCCACCCCCCAAGACGCTCGCCTGTGTTGTATAGCCTCTTGTTGCCCCGCGCATATTAAACACCATTTCCGCCAATAACACGTCCAAGAACCACACCTGTGTTGCCATTAATTAGCCGTTGTCTGCCTCTTGCACCCCCCAGATAGAAGACGGTCAGAATGTTCAAGGAAATATATATTTTTTTTACTTACTTGTGAGTGGAATATTTTGTTTTTCTTTCGTTCTCCGTGGTGTAAGATAGAGCTGACGAGGTTAAGGAAACAGAGGAAGGATTTAACTACCAGGGCAGCATCGAAGGTTGTGTTTTAACTGTGGGGGGTTCAGTAGTGGTGGAATGGGAGGGAGCGAATACATTTTGAAAAGGATTTCTTGCACCAACGAGCCTGTAATGTAGGAGATTAAGACACACGGCACGACCTCTTAATGTATTGAGAGAGCCTTCACCAACAGTACTAAAATATTCAACACACAGGTTAGAATTTGTTCTTGTTTTCTCTCTCTTATTTCTCGTGTGTATATCATCGTAAACGTGTAGGTACTAGTGCGGTGACTGTTTGACACACACACACACACACACACACACACACACACACACACACACACACCTCACCCCTCCCCCACACACACACCTCACCTCCCCACCTCACCCCTCCCCACACACACCTCACCCCTCCCCCACACACACACCTCACCCCTCCCCCACACACACCTCACCCCTCCCCCACACACACACCTCACCTCCCCACACACACACACCTCACCCCTCCCCCACACCACCTCACCCCTCCCCCACACACACACCTCACCCCTCCCCCTTCGCATGTCTGGGGAGAGGATAAACTGGATGGGTCATGCAGAGGGGTGGGGGTGAGTGAGGTGAGAGGTGAGGGAGTGAGGGAGATGAGAAGAAAGTTTGGAATGCCACAATGAATAAGAGGCGCGAAAGTTGAAAAACTGGGCCGCCCTTAAGATTTATGGTGCAATATAAAATGCTAAGGAGCTGTTTATTATTACAGTCACTGTACCCTTCCTTCCTCTCTTTCACCTCCTCTCACTTCCTCTCTCTCCCCTCTCACTTCCTCTCTCTCCCCCTCTCATTTTCTCTTTCCCTATCTCTGTTCCTTTCTTTCCTATCCTATCTCATCCTTCTCTCCCATCCCTTCATCTCTTCCTCCCGTCCCATCTCTCCCTCTACCCTTCCTCCCGTCCCATCTCTCCCTCTACCCTTCCTCCTCCCATCTCTCCCCCCCCTCCCTCTCTCCTCCAACCGTGGCTACTCAACTGGGCATTGTTTACACTCGCTAAGGATGCAAACCTAAGGACATTTCCTCCGCCGCTATTGGGGGAGGGGGTAAGTGGTGTGGATTAGGATCTTACCTACCATGGGAAGATGGGAGAGAGGAGTTACTACCGTGGGTAAGATGGGGAGGAGGGTGTTTAATACTTTAAGAGGATAATAAGGAACCAAGTAACCAAGCAAGTAACCAAACAAGCTAAGCAAGTAAGCAAAGAAGCAAGCAAACAGCCATATATCCCACCGTGTTAAGCAAGCAAGCAAATATCCCAACATGTTAACCAAACAAACAACGAAGGAAGGAAGGAAGGAAGGAAGGAAGGAGGGAGGGCGGTGCAGCAGGAACCTACGTGGTAATTTGTGTTGGTGGATCATTAAAGGAGAGTTAGTGCTTGTGAGGCCGCCAGTGTACGGGACAAGAGGCCGAGCTCTCTAAATCATCCCGTGTAAATATCATTCTAACGTGTGTATTTATTTATTTAATTAAGTAAGATCTCCGTGAATATTTTTCGCGGGTATGAAGCTCCTTCGCGAATATTGTTGGCGATTATAGAGTTTTAGCGAATATTGTTGGCGATTATAGAGCTTTTAAATATTATTGGGAGTATAAAGCTCCTTCGCGAATATTGTTGGCGGGTATAAAGCTCTTCGCGAATATTGTTGGCGGTATAAGTCTTCGCGAATATTGTTGGCGGGTATAAAGCTCCTTCACGAATATTGTTGGGGGTATAAAGCTCCTTCGCGAATATTTTTGGTGGATATAGAGCTCTTTCGAATATTGTTGGGAGTATATAGCACTCCATCGCGAATATATTTGGCGGAGTGGAGGTAAGATAATGTATTAGGCGTGTAAGTACTGATATATGATAATGTAATCTGGTACTAGTGTCTTGGAGAGCCGCTGTTTTTTTTATGACCCTACAGCGAGGAGGAGGTGTGTTGAGGCGGGTTCGTCTGTCTGTCTGTCTGTCTGTCTGTCTGTCTGTCTGTCTGTCTGTCTGTTTGTCTGTCTGTGTCTGTCTGTCTGTCTGTCTGTCTGTTGTCTGTCTGTCTGTCTGTCTGTCTCTCTCTCTCTCTCTCTCTCTCTCTCTCTCTCCACCTTGTACCCATACATCCCTCACCTGTGTGGTATAGGGGCCAACAGGTAAACATTGGCCAAATTATCACTACCATCAATTAGAAGGGGTTTTGATACGTCTTTGTCACCCCGTTTTCTATAGACTAATTTACATGCCATAAATTGTGACTTCCCAAGACTGTAATAAATTTTAGGAAATGTATTTAATATGGAAATGTATTGGACAAGGTCTTGGTCCGCTCTACTTTTTTTAATATAGTATGTGTATTTAATGGTTCATATTGGCCTTGGGGTTTGGTTGGGTTAACATAAGAACATAAGAATGGAGGAAACTGCAGCGGGTCTATTGGCCCATACTGGGCAGTCCCATTTACACCCAACCCCTATTGCTCATATGAGCATCCAACCTATGTTTGAAGCTATTCAGCGTATTCGAGTTAATGATGATATTTGGTAACTTGTTCCAAACCAGTGTCTACCTATTTCTGCCTAAATCTAAATAATTTAATATCCACCACATGAGTTCGCTCCTGGTTGGATAGTTTGAGTACCTTTGTAATGTCCCTTTGTTCAGCCCTGACTTCCATTTATACACCTCTATCATATCGCCTCTCACTCTACGTCTCTCGAGGGAGTGCAAATTAAATGCTTTAACCTGTCTCTGTTCTCAAGGTTCCTAATGCCCGATTAGCCTTGTCATTCTCTGGAATTTTCCAGGATTCTATATCCATTCTGTAGTACGGTGACCAGAATTGAACAGCGTAATCCAAATGAGGTCTCACAAGCGCAAGATATAGTTTTGGGATGACCTCGCTAGTCTTGTAACTACACTTTTGTATGAAAATGGCCTTAAAACTGTGATGATGATGAGGTAATTTTATATAACTAGATAATTAGTGATGGTAATATATACATCCCAATCAAAATATCTAAATGGAAAGGAATCATATCTGGTAAACGTAAAGTGAAATTTACCTAGATATTCATGATACAAAGATGCATACCAAATGTCTCAATTGGTGAAGACATTCTAAAGTTACCGAAAGGAAAATAATGC